CTTGCTTTAAACTTCGTTATCGATGCAAACCGGAGAGTTTCAATGTCAGAATACTCGATGTTCTTAATTCAAAATACATTCTTAATTCAAACGATTTTGAAACTGTAAGTCATACCTACTCGTTCTTTTTGCTGCCAAGTTTATTTTTTAAATAAATGTTGTTGTTTCTATAAGCTAATAATTATTTATTCTAGAATGAACTTGAAAATTACACGTTTGGCTTGGTGGTTGGGCAACCGGCTGCCGCACAACATGCTACGCGTTTGGTTCCCGCATGGAAAAAACTCTTTGTGTGATCCACAAATTGTTATTCTGGAAATTGCATATTTGTAAACGCACCCACGAGAAAAAACAAGTCTTTAAAAATGCATTTTCCCTAGTTGAAGATAAAACAAAAACCAACCAAGGAAATGCAACCAAACGATCCCTTGAGTATTTATAAAAGACCTTTTATTTAAACACAAGACTCATTTAAACAAACGGGACTGAAATCGCGCCAACAAATGAACATTTCCTTCAAATAACAAGGGTGACTGTCACATTGGAATTTGGTCACGTTAACTCGACTGAGCGATGTCGTCTTGACTAAATCACTGCAAACCTGTCTGTCAGTCGGCGACGCGCTCCAAATTGTCTACGTCTATCATAATAAGCTGACATAACTTCAAATAATCCGTTGATTTAATACGTGGGAGTGTTCAAATACAGCTAAAGGTTCATTTATATTAATAGAATCACAATTTCAGCCCTATTAACACCCACTGAATTATTGGGATAACGGTAATTAAGTAAATGTGTCGCGTCACGCCTAAGTATTTTGGCCTCGTATTGACAGTTCCTATAAATGACCTCTGTGACATTATTACGACCGATGTTCTGATAACAAATAGGGACTTCAAGGAAAGTAATATAATTCAGGTTTTTCGAGGGCGTGGTGAAATGCGTTCGACCGTTTCTCTACAATAATTTTGTTACGTTGTCAACCCTATGAACGGAGAACCTGATTTAGTTTTTCTCAGCCCTAGAATCAGAACTGATGCTGAGTTATAAAATATGGATCGATCATATTTTTTTAAATAGTACCTACATTTGAATATAATTTATTATTTGCTACGAAGGTTTTGGACTTAGAGATGTCAACATATTATTTGGTGTAGTTGACACAGACTAATTTCAGAAAAATTGCCTGGTCAAAGCCCCAGGCATGAGACGAAAGTATTTTACGCATAATTGTAACATACATAAATGTATCTACTAAAAACTACTGCATAAACGCTATTTTTAAGATTCTGCCAATACAAAAAGAAATATTGATTAGCTGTTCGAATTCTTGCCATATATACGGAAGTATTTACGTGAGAATTCTAGCTAGCTAGCTTGCCGCGTATTATTCTTTCAGTAATAAGTAGTATACTTATTGCTGATTTCAATACGAAAGGAGAAAATTAATTGTATCATAAAATATATGAATTAAATGTGATTTAATTTTTATTGCAATTTTATGAATGAAGAACATGAAATGAAATTTAAATCGAGGTAATTTCTTTTTAACGAAACTAAGGGCCAAATTGAATCGTATATCGCAGTGCTTTCAAGTAAGTATTGCAAATCTATATACAAAAGGACACAAAATACGGCATAATCACCAATTACAATGGATTTGCAACTCAAATGGTCGATCCAGAACATGGACCGCACAAAGCCTGCGTAAATATTCATAGCAATGTGGGACATTTCCAGCCTACCCTAATAAACTGACCATAATTATAATGGACGAGTAAATACTTTATTGGCTACCACTAGTTGCCCATTTCGACTCTGGTGACACGATCTGATTTTATTTGGTCGAACTTTTGTTAGTATTGGATAAGGTTAATATATTGTGTGTGTGATATTTGTAAAGCTATTGTTTTGTGCTATGTTCGTCCGGAGATTGTTTTTTAATAATTGATAGACTTCTCCTGTCCTGGTAGAGGCAAGAAGATGTCTCACTCGTCTCGGAGTGACTTAAACTTCTTCGTCTCTTCTGCCAGCCATGCTTTGTCACGAATTGGCCGGCTTGATTGGAGTGATGCCTCACAGAAAACTGGCGTGAAGCAACACTTACGTTATGTTTCGCCGTGTAAGTAAGGTTACCGGAGGCCCAAGCCTTCCCCCCTGCTCCAGGCTGGGGCCATCTGTAGAAGTCTGTTCGCTTTTTAAGGGGCGCACTAAGCGCTTATATTACATATTACAGAGATATATAATTTTTTATTCATATAATATTCATAAGCTTTAAATTTCCAATCCACATTGAGTGACCATTGTTACAAGTGAGAGTAGTATCTATATTAATAGTACATATCTATGCCAAAACATTATTAAATTTGTTTGCCTCAGTTTGAAATCCTAAGTATTTTATCAAGAATTGAATAAGGGGATAAAATTCTTTCTTTTCTAATACCTAAGTATTTTTTATAAATGCCTCATAGCTTTTTAATTTCACTTTTTAAGAAAAAAATACGTATCTACTTACTGTTTTCAAAATTCATATTCTACGTGACCACAATATTAATTTTAAGCGGGTAAATTTACTTATCTGTCACATTTGACAACTGCTAGCGTCAGTGTCAATATGACAGCTAGTGCTGTCAGTCACTAACATCCATTACACTAGAGATGTCCAATTAGTTAATTTTTCATCGTTTAACACTATTTCGTAAGTAAATAAGTATCACACTTTTATTTTATATTTATTTAAATTATATATGTATCTTGTGTATCAATATTAATACCATGTACAAAATGTATAAGGAAATTGCCAGACACGTGTCAATGTTTAAATGTTCATATTCAGTTTTCATCGCTTCAGTCAATCTGGAAATGGAAACCAGACTATGTTACCATTACTTTACAAACCGGTGGGTACAAAAAAGTCGACGCGTGTAAAAATCAAATATAAATAAAATCACTCAAAGCGTTATATAAAGGAACGAACATTGAATGTACAAAAAAAAACCTTTTGAGCTTCCAGTACATTATTCAAAAACAAACTGTAGGTTCTAAGCGGGTACTGAATACCAAAGCTGAAATTTAATTTTAGCTTAACTTACTGTACTAACCATATTAATAATACAGGAGTTGATTAAAGCTAAGGTACCTATATTATTTAACACATGTGTTAATTGTATTATACCAATGTTGAAACAGAAAATTAATAAATTCTACTGATATTATAAACGCGATCGTTTGTAAGTGTGAATGGATTAATGTTTGCTCTGCTTCGTTTAAGTGAAAACGATTCAACAGTACTGAATGAAATTTGACACAGGAATAGATGAATCTGGGAACCCGTCAGCTATTTTTACCCTATACAAAAAAAGTTAGTTAACAATTATTTAAAATCATAATACGTTAATGCACTCTTTCTATATTACGTTTTACAGCTAACATTTTTTTTAAATAAATAAATTCAGTACGATCGTTTTTGGCTCTTGTTTTAATCGATAACAAATTAATTAAAAAACTATAAATTGGAACAACTAGATTACCAAAACAAATAATATGAGAGTCTAAACGGTGTCACACACTGACATACAATCCATTGTTTCTGTTAATTACATAATCATCAGTACGATCGTTTTTGGCTCTTGTTTTAATCGATAACAAATTAATTAAAAAACTATAAATTGGAACAACTAGATTACCAAAACAAATAATATGAGAGTCTAAGCGGTGTCACACACTGTCAAACAAAGCCATTGTTTCTGTTAATTACTTTCAAATTTTCAATTTTCCTCCGATTCCTCGTTCACCGAAACTTTGTTCGCTAAATAATAAACAGTGAGGTGCAAACTAGAAAACCTACTCCTAGCCGTATGAACTTCAAAATATCTAAGCACTTATACCCAGAATGTGGACCACGCAATCTTTTTAGTCCATCTGAAAGCATTGTATGCATTGTCGACATGAAAAGAATTTCTACCCAGGACCGTTTGTGTGAGATTCACGTAGCCACACAAAGTACGGTAACGTTACATTTAAAATCACTCAGATGAGCATTTATCATGACTTATGAATGACTTTTATGAGCCACAGATTCTCAAATATAGCCTATATTTCTTTAGGTTGTATGTGAGCATTATTTTATTGTTCACGTTAAAGTTTCACCTAGTGTTGATCTAGGTCAACTACATTTTATAAATGTAGGTATTACAAGAATTGTCTTCATTCAGTTATTTATGGGAAAAATGGTTTGATTATCATCAAACAGCAAATATAATATAAATATTTTCATTTCAATTGAATCTTAATATGAAGAAACCTGTATAACTTTTATACTCTAAAAGATTTTCTAAAATATATTTCAATTTTCTGTATATAAATAACTTTTTGACAGGTAAACATTTTTAAAATATTTCCATCAATTATTCTTCTTCAATTGAATTCTTTTAGCAATTAGCGTAAATGTTTTATTATATCATGACCGTCTCCAAGGGAGACGACCAAATAATCTAATCACTTTGGACATGCAAATATTAATTAGGACAAGAAGCTTTTTACACGTGGTGTACCCTACTTTTTATTTTATTAGTTCAAGAGTACAATTTCGTATTTGCTCGTAAATTTACAATTTTTCACAAATAAAACAACCATTTTTACTTAATTTTCTGTTAAGAAGTTTGAATGATTAATTTATTATTTATGTTAGGAAATGTCTATCCATAGTATGATTTATTAATGTTTTTATGAACAACGATATTTCTCTTATTTTAATAAAATTAAATATAAAGACTAACTCCCATTACATTAATAATTGTTTTTTTATGCAATAGGTCGGCAAATCGGATTACCTGATGGTAAGCAATCAGCGCCGCCCATGGATACTCGCAACAACAGAGGAGTTACGAGTGCGTTGCCGACCTTTTGGGGATTAGGGGTTGGGGAGACATTGGGGAAGGCGAAGGAGTGAGGATATTATTTATTGTCTATCTATTAAAATATTTTGTTTTTGTTCTCAGAGCAAAGATTATGGGCAAAGAAGTTCTGCATCAGCGTTATCTCGTTTCTCCAGAATACGACGATTGTCCAGACCAGCTCATCGGATCATAAATCCTGATGAAGGTACGTCAAAAGTGTTTTCATCAACTTAAAAACATTCACAATTCAAAATTTAAGAATGCCCGTAATCGTCTGCTATCTGAATATATTGAATTTGCATAAAAAATACGTCAAATTCTCTTGTACTTGGACTAAGAAGTTTGACCTTGAAAATCGCCCAAATATAAGCCCAAAATCTCTAGACTGAATCAAAATTTTGGCAAAAATTCCATACAGTAAATGGTAAAAAAGAACAATTGAATTGAGAATTCAATTGTTTTAGACAGATATCAGTAATTTTAATTCGACTTTTATTCAATTTTACTAGGAAGTCACCAAGTGTTTTCGCTTGCCCATGGTAGTGACGGATTGTCAGACTATGACTAACCCGCTCACATTCCATCTCTTGCTCCTGATCAAGGCGTACGTTATTGTGTTTGACCCGCCACCCTGGCAAAAACGCCCGAAGACTTCATCATTATCATCATCATCATCAGCCTCATGTCGTCCAGTGCTGGACATAGGCCTCCCTAATGGCACGCCACTGAGCTCGATTTTCAACTTTCAAATTCTCATCAAACGAAATTAAAACTTGTACACCCTTGGAAGGTTTCCAGTGAACAACCCACACGTTATTAAACAAGAGGCCTTTGACCTTCAGTCTGAACCACTATCAAAATTGAATTCCCGATTCGAAAAACCCCACTGTATATCGCTTGACCAACCTAACAAAGCAACGAAGCTAGTTTGAATGTTATTCTACCTCTAGGTACCATTCGCTTGGGGTTACTAAAACAATATCATAGTTTTTACTTCTTTCTCAATGTTTAATTATGTTTTAAATTTAAGTTGTATTCATTTGTGTAATTTTTTTAATCAATATTGATATTGTATTTCAAAATGAAAAATTTAAAGTATAATATATATCTATAGTCTACGGATTTTTTATCCATTTATTTTTTACGTTATAATTTATTTAAATATTGCAAGTAATATAATTTTAAATAGTGCTGTTCTTATAATATCCAAGAAGTTCTTTAAATTTCCAGTCAAAAGTAAAATCATATAATATTTCAATAAAACAAAACAAATAAAATGTTAAAATATATAATGTCTAATACAATAAAAACATAAAAATTGTCAGTTCTCTAGTGAAGCTATTTGCTCGTATGTATCAATGAAGTTTCCTATGGAAAAGAACGTGCACGAATTCCATGGCTACCCACTTTTCAATCAGTTTCCAGAATAACTAATATTTAGCTAAAGAATCAGAATAATAAAAAAAGATGTCAATAAACCTATTTTATTGTAACAAAAATCGAACTTAAATGTATGCTTTATTATTTGTTAGCTAGTACCTACATAAACACTACGAGTACTAGCTACGTAGTTCCTTCACCTAAACTGGTAAAAATATCCACCAATGTACATATTGTGTACTCACATGGTACTCCATGTGAGTTCAATAAAATATGTAATTCCTAGGATGTAAAGTGACCTTAAAATTTCTGGAATTCATTCCCGTGCTAGCCGTTTGTAATGTATTCCATTTCAACCTTTCGTTCGTGAATAATTTCGTTCACATTTTCAAGGTCAATTTTACACAACCTCGCAGTTAACAATTAATTTTTGAAGTTAATTACACGTAATACGATTTCAAAAAGTTAATTGAACCTTTTCCTTCGTTTCAAAATAATGGTGGTATCTTAATACCTTTATACCTTCATTATTTTTCAATCTCAATTTTAGTCTGTATAAAGTGGTATAAGACAGAACGATGAAGGTATACGAAAGGGTGAAGACGTAACGGCCATTGCCTTTAGTTTGCTTTTCAAAGTATGTTTTAGTTCCGATCTTAGTGTTAGGAAATAATTATTGTAGTAATATAAGAAATGGAAAATATTCATTGATAATGAGTCTCGTGACCAAACTCAGAAATTCTCTTCTAGTTTCGAGACAAAATGGGGGTCTTATTCTTTATAGTAGAACTTTTCTTAGTTTGGTCACAAGATTAAGTAGTTTTTTTTTTCAAAAAGAGTACATCTCATGAGAGCAACTAAAAAAATACAATACCTCATTCTAGAAATATTGTTTATCTTCAAAACACCCTTACCGACTATTTTGTAAATATAAAATTATATTTATATATATTTTCTTTCGCAGATTGTTTCCTTGTGACGTCAGAGGAAGGAGAATTGTTTTTTAAATCACCATCGAATGATCCAGTCGTGTGTGGTATCTACATCATAGCTGAACCTGATAAACGGATCGAGGTTATCTTTAATTACCTCGACGTGCCCTGCGAAAACGGAGGTTTAGTTGCGGTAAAGTATAAAAGAGATAACATCTCTCTCACTAAAATTAACATCGTCCTAATATTATAATTAAGCTAAAAGAAGTCTACTGTCAAAGAGAGATCTTTTCCAATAACGATCTGTTAACAATTTTATCCTTAAAACTTAAACCAACACTTACAAAAACTCATTGAATGCTACACAGTTATATACAATCCGTTACCATTTACATCATCATTTTCATTAGCTGGAAGATCTCAATTGCTGGACAAAGGCTTCCCCTATAATAAAAGTATAATATTATGTCTGCAACAAAAATATTTGCACCTTATATAATAAATAAAATAGACCATTAATTATCGTGTATTCAGATACTCTTTATTGCACAGGGCTAATTTGGACATTGTCTTTTGTCATCTGATATTTTAACACCCCTTTAACGTCAAATAAATATGGGAAAACACATCATGGATAAAAAGTGTGACGTCATAATTCCGAGTGTGCTGATTATCCTTATTCTGACACCCTATGGTAATGGGGGAATACAGTTTCAAATAAATTATACCCCTTATTTCTCAAGGAGTTTTGTTTCCTTTGGGATTTTGATCCTTGAAGATAAATATATAAAGATTAAAGTAAATTAATTTAAACCTTTAAAAATACTAAATAAGGTCTGACAAATGACGTTATTTCATAACTCTGCAAATGCTACAAAGTTTAATAACAATAAACTCGCTGACGGAAGTTTAATTGAATTTTTTTCGCTGCGTTTATAACGTTGTAGACTTAGATCAGCTGTTTTTATTCGACTTTATTTCACAGACGATTTTGCTGTTATTTAATCTACTTTATTTTTAATTAGATTTAAATCTGCTTACTTTCTTTTATTGGAAAAGTATACAAGAATGTTTTGCAACACATTCTTCTAATATTGTAAATTGCTGTTTTAGATATATCATTTATTTATCATAAATAAAGTTAATTTAAATACATATGTCTAGTAATGCATTCCATAACTATAATATTGGTTGGAAACTTTGAAGAAGGTTTGGTATTTAACAAACTAACGTAATATTATTTTGATTAAAATAAATAAAAATAAAAAAAAAGAAGAAATACACTCCCATTTTCGGCTCCTACTCACTTTTATCTTTTTTTAAATTAAATAAAATATTCGAATTGACTAAAAAACTATATTGCTTGCAGTGGGTTGACGGATGGGAGTTGAATGGCCAAGTTTGGCCAGCAGACTCGTGGGACGATGACCGAGTAGTGGAGTCCTGTGACCAGAGACCCTCAAGGAAACTCGTGTCCAGGCAAAATGCTGCTCTTGTGCAGTACCGAGTCCCAGCTAGAGGAAAAGGATTTGCTGTTACCATACGACACTTGAAGAATACTAAGCGTAAGTTATTTTTTGTATGCATATCAATTTCATGGCAACAAATTAAGAAAAAACAAGCGAGGCTTGTTTTCCCTGGAATAGAACACAGTTGCTCAATTGTTAGCACGTCAACATGTTGAGTTTGTGACTGTTTACTGAGTGAAACAGTGACTTATCGTATCACACCAGAATTATTATTATGTATTTTTGAAACCCTAAGAATTAATAGGCACTATAGATGCAAAAGTTTTGCAAAAGTATCAAAATGAAATAGTATGAAACAGAATGGCACTGGAATAAGAAATAGGCTATTTTTGTTATTATTTTACTTTTACAACTTACATGTCAGGAGGTTTTTGTTTCCACCAGCGTTTTTGCCGCCAGCGAAAATATCCCATGAGTTAATCCAAACTATAATCTATATGTGATCCCAATTACATTTTGATCCATCTTGAAAGAGAAACAAACATACTAACGCCTAGACTTACAAACTTTTGCGGTTAGAATATTAGTAGGATTAACAAAATTACTTTGATGGTAGGAATTAAATTGAGCTCGTAATTCTCTCTAATTCTCATATTGACATTTATAAATCTATGTACCTTTGATCTTACTCGCTTGCCAAAACAACATTTTAAAAAGATTTACAGACGTTTGACGAAATTCAACACGATTACTAATCCGAGATAAGCCAAATACGGCTATAGAGCTTAAACAAAAACAAATAACCTTATCATTAATATCATAAACATTAACATACCAACGAATTACCAAAGTAATGCTATTTAATATACGTTATCGCGTTTATTTAAATTAATTCGAGTAAATAGACATGATATGGTACTAGATTAAGGAACGAAATATTTATTAGTTCTTAAGAAAGTATCCTGTTTCAAACTTGTTTTAAAACTTTGTTTACAAAAGTAGCAAAATAGTGATCGCTTATCTTGAAGGTACTTAGGAAAACTAATTTTGAATAACGATATTTTGTAAGATACGGGAGGTACTTACTCCTGATTCTTGTTAGCCCAGTCTGTTGGCATCAAATTTTTTTACTGTTTTTTTCACGTGGCAAGCGCAATGAGGTCTCGGCCCAGAGCATTAGAAGGAACGGGGGAGGTTTTAGTCAGTAAGAGTCTGACACTAAGGGTGGGAGAATGTATGTAACCTTTCTATTGTCAACGTATAATTTTTTAGTTAAATGTAGTGAATATTATTATATTCTGTAATATATTCTCTAGCTTAAAACCGTAAATACTGAAGAGCGTACAATTGTATTAGAAAGCTAATATTCCCCACTAAATATTAAAACATTTCTAATTTTTCTAAACTTCTTGAAGTACTTAAACAACGTCATTTACGCGACATTCTACAAAATCTCATTACAAAATAGAATAATAGCCTTGTGTACTTATTAAGTAATCTATTGGAATACGAAAATTGCCGGGAAATCCCGTAATAAATTCTTAATTTATCAGATTACGGAAAGCAATTACAAACTGAGACGATTTTACTGTGAAACCACAGTCGGAAACTCGGAAGTTAATAAAGTTTCGCAGTTACTGTTGTAATTAACACATTAACAGGTCATAACTCAAACTGTTAGCGAATAAACTCAGTTAAATTCAGGCTAAAAGTCTAATATTAGTTTAAACCTAACCGCAGTTTTGCAGTGCATAAGTTTCTGTTTCAAATATTAAATGTATTCCTGGCTTTAGACTGACGAAGTTTTAACTGCAACTTGGCACTGGTTGAATGAAAATTGTTTCTATTATTGCATAATATGCATTGCATATATCCGTTTGCATCTAAAATCACTTAATTAACTAATTGCTTTTGTACTCTACAACATCCCCATCAAACAAACTTCTCTAAAGCAAGAACAAAATGTATAAATAAATAAATATGGCCCAATCTTACCCTGTCACATCTCCACGATCTCCGGCCACCGTGAGCGCGGGTATGCGGTCGGCGAGTTTGGGCAACTCGCCGCCCGACCAGGACCCAATCAAAACCCATCCAGGAGAGCCAATAGACCACCACAGACGGGGCCCTATAGAGCTGATGTTCAGCCTGGGTTGCGGCGTACGCGCAATGTGGTACCGCAACCTCGACCCAGAGCAGGAGAAGGAACAGGGGGGTTTTTAGTCAGTAAGAGTCTGACACTCCCTCCCGCCCGGCCTTGGGCGGGATAAGTCATTTGATGATTTTCCCCTCACAAAAAAAAACCCCATCACATAAAAAGAAATATATTTTTTATTGTATATTTTTTGTAACTTGTTGAATTTGAATATGAAATGAACTACTGTTGTTAGTAGTGGGTAGAAAAGTTTTGAATGGTGTATTTACTACAGAATCTGATAAAATACTTTTTGGTTACAATACCAATCAGTAGCGTTGTTCAGCTTTGTCAACCCTAACAAAACATTGGAACAGTAATGAATCTCTCAATTCTCAAATTTAATTTCATATGTAGGTAAATTCCTTTTGGAAAAAATAAACATGCTTATTTCCTATCGAGATTTCCCTTTTAGCTTTGCAACATTTTATTGGTAATTCTATATACATATGCAGTGAAAGCTTTCAATTAATTGAATTTATTTGAATGTACATTTATTGATGTTTCTTGCGCATCCCGCTGTTCTTATTGAACCGTTTCATATCATTTCCGTATGTTGTAGAGAAAATTTTCTTGTCAGATACACACTTACGACCTGAGAATCTATTTATCTATATGTATATTGAACTTGATTGTTTATACAAGCATTTTAAAATATCAGTAGTCAAAAACAAATAGCAATATTTGTTTAAAGGATGGATGAAGTCCTACTTCAGTTTTAGCGTCAGAATAACGTCTTGTCGCTCAACTAAGAATTTGTATACTATTAATTTTAGAATAAGTCATTAACTCCTAAAGAAACTCGAAAGAGTTTCTTGAATTTCTAGGCAAGTGCTTAGGCTTATTGCTTTGTGAAACATAATAATATAAAAGACGTGGACATTCATTCATTTCTAAAAATAATAAGATTTTGTTAAGCATTTGTAAGTGTTACCAACCACCACGTTCTTGTTACAAATTCTACTATGATTTTTGGTAAAACTATAATAATACTATGGTCCACTCAGACAAAGTGTATTGATATGGTATAAAAGTTTCAGCTGGCAGCCTTATTAACCCAAAAATTGACTAACCTTTTTAATAAATAATATAATAGGTATTAGAAATTTTTATTTTTATTCCGGTCACAGTTCCATTATAACCTAAGCTACCAACAACTCTGTTTAAACGATTTCTTTCAAAGAATTGGAGCCTTTGAATACAAGCCTTGATGAGAAATTTAGCCATAAAGTCAAACGGCTACTCAATCAGGATGTTGCCCGCGCTACATGGTAGAAGAAAACTATATTTTCAACCTAAATTTGAAATAAGGTACATATATATAAAAAAGGTATGTAGGTATACATACATATTGTTTCGTTCAATTATCTCCCTCTCATTTAGCAACGAACCATTACTTCAAGCTGATTGCTTCAAGTTCCCACTATTCCCAGTCGACTCATCCAACTAGACTGGATGATAACCAAATGTTTTTCTAGTATATTTTCTCTTTAACACTCAGTTTATTTTATAGCTAACATTAATGTTCTACGAAGATGGACTTTTGCTAAGCGTTGTGGGAATGGACCATTTTATAACTCGAGTCAACTGTTTCGATCACATTTATTATTAAAGAATAGTTATAGGTAAATTATTTAAGTGTGGGAGAGCCATGCTTCGGCATGAATGGGTCGGCTGGACCGGAGTGATACCACGGCCTCGCAGAAAACCGGCGTGAAACAAACGGCGTTGTGTTTCGCCGTGTGAGTGAGGTCACCGGAGGCCCAATCCTTCTCCTCCCCAAATCCCTCCCCAATCCCTAAATTTCCCATATCCCTAATCCCCAAAGGGTCGGCAACGCACTCGTAACTCCTCTGTTGTTGCGGTTGTCTATGGGTGGCGCTGATTGCTTACCATCAGGTAATCCGCCATGACCAGACGAATCGTCTATGGACATCCGAAACAGTAGAGGAGTTAGAAGTGCGTTGCAAGCCTTTTGTACGGTTAAGGATTAGAGGATTGGGTATGGGGATTAGGTGGATTAAGCCTCTGCCGACCTCACTTACAAGACCAAATACAACTCTCGCATTGTTCCACACTATTTTTCTGTGACGATATGGTTCCAGTCATTCGTCTTTTTAAGAAGAACAAATTCAAATATATACTCTATTAAACCGAAGTATTTAATGTAAAAACCATTAACTAATTCAGTATTGTTATTCCACTAGTATAATTTACAATGAAAATAATAAAATCCGTCCATTAATAACATTCACAAACTCATAATATAATCACAAGCAAACTCTAGTTTCAGTAAAGTTTAGAGGTCAAAACAGGAGTTTAGTTTTGAATAAACTGTGAGGTCTAACAAAGTGGAAGGAAGTGGGCATGTTAACGACGTCAGAGTACACCTTGCAAGCAACCTTCAAAGCAAAAGTTAATTACATCACGGAGAAGAAAATTATAATTAAAATAATCTCATTCAGGAGCATCGCGCAAGTAGTGCTCTTTCTCTCGACCTTTCATTAATATATTTTGTTTATACTGATTTTAGATTTCTACTTTACGTATGAATACAACCTTATAGCTTATTCGATATTTATATTTTTTTAATTTGGAATCACACTTTGGACCAAATGACACAGTTCGACCGAACAATACCACGGCCTCACAGCGTGATTTTTTGAACAACACTTTCATAATTTTTGCCGTAAGAATGAGGTTACTGGAAACGCTATCTACATCCTCAATAATCAAATTCCCTATCCCTTAAATCCCTAACAACGGCATTTGCCTACCTATTCCATAAACAAAAGCTGCTATTAGTTAAAGCTTCTGTTTTCGTAAGTAGTTGCTCAACCGTTACTTAAACTTTACCTTAGTAACGATTTTGTTCCGGATACAACGCAAAGGACTTGGTTTAGTGGCCATTAAATAAACCTGAATACGACGGGAGATCTAAAGCAAGTTATTATTATTTCTATGTTGGAATTTATTGACTATTTCACAAAGCAATGTATATAAAACATCATCAATACCCTTACAACGCCACTAATTAGATACTTGGCGGAAGTGGGTATTCAAGATTTCTTTATTACATAAACTAGTATGCGGTTAACCTGATGGCACGATCAGAGGTATTACAAGATCACTGCCGGCTTTTTAGGGAATTAGGGTTTAATTGGGTCTTCGGTTACTTCAGTCTTATGTTTTTGGCGAGATATTCTTATTGTCATCTTTATTATCAGTTGCTGTAAGTGCCATTTTTATTCTGTCGTGCTTGATATTTCTTTTGTTTCAGCGTGCAATGTAATGCTGTTCGGTGCTGAGGGAGTATACACACTTCGAAATCACGGTGAGACCGGCAACTGTTCCATGCTGGCTGTCTCTCCAGCGACAGTTCACGTACTAGACCTGAACGTAGGCGTTACCATCAAGAAAGGGCGCGTACTCGAAATGGAAACTGGAACTATTCATCACGTAAGTTCAATAGAAGTATAAGAAAACTTTTTAGTTGACGAAGCTGTGACTCCGTGGAACTGTTTACTTAGGACACTTACTCAATTTACCTAAAAAGACTAAAGTAGGTATTTATGAAAAAATAATTAAGTCTGGGTTAGAGTTTGCAAAAGTTAATTGAAGTTAAATAACTATTTGTCGTTGCTTGCTGTGAATGGAGATCAAGAAATAGTATCAATAGTAAGTAAGAGAAGAACAATATTGACCAATTTTTAAAAAAGCTGAGATTAATTGTTGATATTATTTTCTTAATACTTAACATATCACAGACGCATCTTCAACCTATGAGTGCTAACTGGTAAGCAAAGGCCTATTTTTAGACTCTCACACGTAGAAACTTTGAGCATTAATCACCACACTTCCTTAAGGCGGATTGGCGATTTCAAACTTACATTTAGAAATTTTAAGCCCAGTTTTCCACGATGTTTTCCTTCACATATTCCAATGGTGTCTAAATAATAATAAAAACTACATATTATTATAATTCGGAAAAAGTCGATAGTACTGGCCAGGTTTCGCACTTAACGTTGTTGCTTAATTTTAAGTAGTTAATATTTAAATTGATTAAGATTTCACTCAAAATAAACATTCGTCATGGTCTCATATATCACATGACTATATTGCACGGTTTATCTTTACGGCGGCAATTTGACAAAACAACAGGCAATAACACACGTCGCTACATAATTTATGAAACAATTACTGGTCACCCGTGGTTCTCTCTCTGGCAGAATGATAGACAGACACAGAACGGAGCATTGTTTTAATAGAATCGAGGACAAATTTTATTTACCATTATAATACTCTCTATTAATTTTTTTTATAAATTCTTCTTTGAATAAATAAAATAAAATAGCCTTTTTTATTGCTGTTTCTTTTTATTCAATTTCACATGCCTTACTTGCCTTTAATTCTTAGTAATCTTTAAATATCAGTATTAGACATTCTTCTTTAATTCTTAGTAATCTTTAAATGTCAGTATTTACTATACTGACATCTTAAGATATTTAAATACAAACAACGTATTTATCATTTCAAAAGATAAAGATTTTGTCTCTTTGATCCATCGACGGTTATTATTCTATTTAATCAAAATCTTGAGATTGCTTTTAAATAATACAATTTTGACAAATTGCGTAACTATCAAATTTCAGAAGCAGTTAAACTTTATTTAATGGCTTGTCAAAGTGGTTAAAGCAATTTATTTCCTTAGTCCTTTTAATTAAACAATTTTTGTTGTTTAATATTTTGCTAAAAGGGTTACCTATAGCCTATCTATCTTGTTTGAAGTTATAAGGTTATTTATAAAATTTAATTATGATTTTTAACTCTTTGACAAAAGTACTATTATCCAGTCTTGCTAGAAATTTTGATCCATGTAATTACTATGAAATACTAAAGTTAACTAATAACTTTGGGTTTAGTTTCTTTTTATGACACGGCAGGGTCACACTCTTCAATAAGGCCCAATTGTCCTATTAGTAAGCTCGTTAAAATCCATATACTTATATATATATACAAGGTTGCCTCACATTGCAAAATATGGTGATTTTCATGATGGCACTTATGAAAGTGTGGAAGAGCCAATCTTCGGCACCGAAATACTACCACGACCTCACAAAAAACTAGCGTGAAACAACCACAGCGTCATTCGTTACGTGACTGAGGTTACTAGAGTCTCTTTACCCATCCCTCCCCAATCCCCAATCCCGAAAGCGCTGAAACTATAATTGCTAAAAGGCCGGCAACGCACTTCCGTCTCCTCTAGTGTTGTGAGTGTGTATGGGCGGTTCTTGTCCGTTAAGAATTTGAAGTCAGTCTTTGAATTTGAAGACACACTAGTTTTGTGAATCCATTCATATCAGGGATTTTGGTCACAAATAATGAATACAATATAAACAAAATTTAATACTGTAATAAGTCACACTCTTACCAGTCATATATGATGCATTTCTATAAAATTAATTGAAAATAATAAACTTCATCATAACACAGACGCAGGATATTAAAACATGAATCATTAATTAAAATAAGCAATCGTAAATTACAAATATTAATAACAGCAGATTTGTTATTTTAAATCCCAAAATAACAAATTAATAATGCTATTGGTAAAGTTTGGATGATTGGCAGATTAAACAACAAATAATGTGCAAAATACAGGAGGATAATTGTTTCAATTCAATTCTGCATTTTTTTTTTTTTTATTAATAAAGACCAAGCTTTGTTTCGATGCAGAAATAGATCGGCCACTAACTCTGCTCTACCTGCGGGTATTGTCTTCGACTAACGGACTATAGATTTGAATGAGATAAGTCCTTTTGTGTGTTTTTAAGGATTCAAGGAGGATTTACAGGAGATTTGGGGAATGAGGAATAGCCCCACCTGCAATCTATTATCCTTTGGAACTATTAGGTCTCCGGTAACCTCACTCACACGGCCAATCACAACGTAAGTTTAGTTTCACGCCAGCATTCTGTGAGGCCGTGGTATCCAGTCGACTGTGTCCATTCGTGCACATGACTCTCCCACACATGAACCCTTAACAAACATAATAAAATTACATGCTTTGGAATCCCTGAAGTGTGAAAACTTTTGTTTATGTAACTACTAAGTTAAGGGTCGCGGTGTATCAAAAGTTTATTTCCTATATCAACTAAAGGTTAATAAGCATTTAATATCCACAGGGATTTGTATAACACGGACATTTCATTGGCGTCATTAAACTACCACAGATTGGAATCGACCCTTAACTAACCATATTATATGTTAACTTCATTAAGCTGGGCGCGGATTATTTTGGGTCAGTACAAAGAGAAACCATGTCAATAATAACTACTTTATATTAATAGCATTATGGCAGAGTTCCGTAAAAATAATGAAAGTAGGAAATTTAAAGAGCTAATAAGTTATATGAATAGGAAAATATAAATAATTTTGGCAAAAATCTTTTACAAAACAATAACTCTGTCCAATACTTGAATTTTCTCATTAAAATTTCATGAACACATCACTTCCTGATGCGGAACAACAATTTGTAGATCACACAGTGACTTGTTTTGTACGGTAACCAAATGCCTGAAAAGTTTGTCCGGCAGCTGCTTGCCTGCCAACTTTGCAGTTTTGTATCATACATAACATTGCATACATTTAATATTAGACAGCGTTTGTTAGTCGAATAGTCTATCATTTTGACAATGAGAAGATAAATCTTTAATTTACACATTTTTTACGTACCAAACAAAAACAAATATTTACTAAAAATAAATTTTGATGAATAAAAGTATTTCAAAAATACAACTGATTATTGAATTACCCTATTTTCTCTTTAAAAATTAGTACTCAACTGAGTCAGTCGAGTTGTAATTTACAAAGACTAACAAGAGTTCCTCTCCCGCAGTGCACAAAGCGGGGACTGTCTGATTATGTGGACATTGGTGGCGCCAACGGACTCGATCACACGAAAATGGAGGTCCAGGATAGTGTGTGTGGACTCGACTCTAATGAAGGTAACTATTGTTTTAAACAAACTAATTGAAAAGAGTAACCATGGAGTTTTGTCTTTTGTTCCTATTTCAAATTTCGTTCGTCATAGCTTTAACATATTCGTTGTTCGTGTTGTAATATTGTAATATGTTTATTATTTTTATTTAGGTATTTTTCTTGATATTAAAGTGAGGCCAAACTAGGAATATTATCAGTTACCAAAATATTTTTAAAGACAGACGAAATGGAGCTGATACTACCAAATGCTTCTAACAGTTTAAAAAGCCTATAACAAAAAAAAAAAAAATATCAGAACATCGCTTATTAATATGAGGTATACCTTATTTTTATGTTGAGATTACTTAAATATAAAGCAAAAAAAAATACAAGTAAAGGCGTAAAACCCGATGTATTAATTACCCTTATTATTATTTTATACATATACCTACTGTAAGACAAAGTATGTCAAAATAATATGGACTACTTATTCTTTTCAATATAAAACCAAAGTAGTTTTCCCTTGTGGTTGTCTCACAGGGATGTACGAAAATGTCATTACAAATAAAAAGTTTTGGAAGTCGGTTAAAAAAAAACAATCCTTTTATCTATTGTATACGATGACAAAAGAATTGTGACAGCTAAATATTTGCCGAAGATTTTGATTTCGTATAGTTTGAAAACTTTTTATTTTGATTAAAACACGTCCCTTTGTTATATATCTTAGTCGTTTGATATTTTTCGTACGTATAGCTGAATAAAATGTTGTTAAAGAAATTACGTTAGTGGAACGTGGAAACAGGGCCAAGAATGAAGGAAAACATTGTACACGTGGCTCAGTATAATGCAGTTTCGCAACATAATGATACTTACTTACAAAAAATAAATATGTTTACTTTATTAGTCCAACTAATGTATTGTTGGCTCAAGTCTGCATAGACAAATTATTAAATTAATAATGGACATGATATTACAGATTTTTTAAACGTTTAATTTAAAACCAGTTATTTTTATGGAATTTCTTGCTCGTTCTTCTCCATTTGAATCTACAATTTGGAACGAGCACCTAGCTTCACTGACGAACAGAATGACAGACTTCTTCTCTATTTTGACGTTTCAAAAGTACCTATTTATGGTTTAGTTAGAATAAATGATTTTAAATTTGACTTTAGAATAATATGTTTTGGCATTATATCAAAAATGGTTGTATATTCACCTTTTTGAAATTAGTGCAGGGACGAATTGTTTTTGTTTCCTGAATTTACTAATTTAAGTCACAACAAAAAGGGCCTCGATTACTTTTTGGCAACTTTCACCTCATTGTTTTTGTTTTTCTCTATCAGAAACATTGGAAAGGCCCAAAAACGGCTTATTGCAATGGCAAAAGGTTGTAAATGCAAATTTATGTTAAAATGTTGACTCAAATTGTATTTTTTAGCTCGGCGTCCGGCGTTCATCGCATGCGAGGACACGGTGGTCCGGCTGGTGTCCAGCGGCCGATACCACAACTCTGTCACCCTAGCCTTCGCCCCCCTCCCTCTCGAGGACATCGAACACGCTGACCTCATGTGCGGACTTAATGACCTGTAAATGAAACACGCGCTCTTCAGTGTAGCCCCGACTTTGGCTTCAGTGATGATGTTTGAATCAAATCCTAATTTATTTCACGTTCTATGACGAGTTCAATCGTCAATGCACGCGAAATTCTTAACTGACCGCTGAATTTTATGTTCCTTTTTTCGGTTTAATCACCGATTGAATGTAGATAGAATAGAGATGAAAAAGCTGATGTTATCATTGTCTATACAATATGACTTTATCGGTAGATTTTATCTGTATTAGAGAATTTAAGTCCTAGATTATAGATTACTTAATCAATTTCTAATCAATGAAAGTTTGAGTTTGTAATGGACTTAGCCTGTCATCTTAAGCTCAAACTTTGAGAAACAGACCGTCGCTGTTAGAGGCAGGTTGCACTAGTTGTGTCGAAACCAGATTAAATAGGATCCTGATTGGACGCGCGCTCGCATTGAATAAAGGGATCATTAAACAATGGTTATAATTTACTACAAAGTGTAACTTATCGCTAATAGTATTGGAAATTTGTCGGATTATGTATAAGTTAATAATTATTATTAGTAGATACCATCAGAACTTAATGTAGCATTAAGGAACTAATTGGTAATATTTTTTCTGTAATGTTACGTAGCTCGTGTGTTACCGAAATAATATATAAAAAAAACGTTTATCACCAAATTCAGTATCAGTATCTAGTCAAGCATTGAGACGAACGCGTTAAATGTTAACGCTCTAGCTATTTGTCAATAAATAAATGTACATGTTGAATTGTTTTATTTTTTTAACACCTACGAAATTATTTAATGTCCTATAATACATTTTTAAACAACGACTTACTGACGTAAATGGACTGAAAAAAGCTCTACTAGTTTTAACAATAGCAGGACCCTTACTTCTCATCGCAACGACGTCGCGCAGTCGGTTGATACTTTTTAGAGCTATTCTCAGATAATTTACGTTGTTATTTTCAATAAAAAAGTATCACAGGAAAGTTGCATCTCAAAAATTTTTCTTTGTGTGGGTGTAAGTAATCATACAGACAGACAGACACAGACCCAGCATAACAATTAACAAAATGGCAGTAATACGTATACACATAAAGGTATTGAGTGAATTAATAAAATAATATTTATTACTTAAATAATTAAACCCCAGTCTTCTAGCACCTACTCAGTATTCAAGGAATTGAATAATTTTCATAACATTACAGCAACACATCATATCATCAGCCTAGGAGTGCCCTCTGCCGAGCAGAGGCCTCTTCTCACACAGACAAGATGTGAGCATTAATCACTCAACTTTGCTCAAGGAGAACTGGCGAGTGCAAACTTAAATCTAAAAATTAGAAGTCCAGGTTTTGTCTTCATATTTTCTTTCACCGTATGTCATTAGTGTCTAAATAATCATAGGAATTAATATAACTTTTAAATAGTCAGATTGGTACTTGCTAGAATTCCAACCCGCACTCTCATGCATGAGAAGTAGGCGCTTTAACTTCCGGGTCACCATTTTCATAACGCGATTATCAAATCTAACCAATTTATTTTGATGTCGTTACACAGTACGTTATTTTGAGGATCCTAGGTCTTTTCATAACAGAAAAGTTTTTAATACTATTCACAAATAATGTCATCTATCGTAACATTAACATTCAACTCGTGATGTACAGTCATTAACACTGATACTGTTTTAACATCAACGACGACTACGTTACGATACTGCTACGAGACGGCTACGGCCGCTACGATAATATGGCTACTAAATGCTACGTGGCGGTTATGAAAAATAAAAAACGAATTCTTTACTGCATGGATTCTTTAACCAATAAAATTACGTTTAACTATTCATTTGTGTGATATGAAATAATGTAACGACATCTACAGGCTCTACAAAAAAGTAGTTGGTCTGTTCGTTTCGTAATTTTATTGAATAGTGAAATCACTCCTGGTCGGTAATTGCAGGTCGAGGGTTTATCTTAATGTTAATGTCGAAACACAGATGGCGCTGTTAATTGAGGTATGAGTAGAAGTTTGAAAAGTTGAAAAAGAATCGATTCAGTTGTAAATGTTTATGTTATTGTGGAATCAAAAGGGATTTTTATAGTAATATGGGACACAGTACGAGTGTGAATATGCAGAAACATATGTTAAAATAAAAAACGAACCTTTTAATTAAATTTTATTGAGTAATTTTTTGGATAGAGATAATAAACAAATAGTACTTATTTAAAAGCAATACATAAGACTATTGTGTAACAGTATTCTGACAAAAATAGTTTATTCCCGCTACGGTGAAATAAATATTCGTGCAACTGTACAAACGAATTTACTTTAATAATAAAAATATACTAAATATCTCGACATTCAAAATCTATGACAATAAAAACTAATATTTATTATTAGTTTAGCGTTACGATTAGATGAAATTGTGAAGGAAATCAAGTCATACAACAATTTTTTTCATCTACTGAAAGCATTTATAGCACACAATACTGGATTGAACATATAAAACACATATTGTCGACGTCATCCGCAATTTAGTTATCTGTGATAAAACGAATGTGCACACTCATATATACACACATTAAATTAGCACCTAATTTGTAAAGCAGTAACTACTATTATCGTTTGCACAGATGTAAGCTTTTACACAAATAACATTAAACATTTAATTTATCTAACAAATAATACCATTGTAGATTTTCTCTAATTGACTACACATTTAAGAGCTGTTTTACATACATACATTGTTTTAGAACTATTGTTTACGCATATATTTTGATTAATTAGTATGGATCTGCCTACATAGTCATATTTGCAGAGAAAATAAGATAGACCAGTTAGTTACGTAAAATTCTAGTGGCAATCACATCAATACTAAGACTTACGTACTAAACTATATTCTACGCCTAATGAGTAGCTTATTTAACAAATATACCAACAAACAGTACGTATTGATATCGTCTCGTACAGCGATAGTATGTAGGACTAGCCCCACTTTTACTATAACATAGATATACATATAATGAGATATACATATATGAGTTGAAATAAAACTTTAGGCCTATTGAAAACAAAGTAAAAGGTTGATTCATGTGACGTAATATTGTTGATTCTTTCCTTTCACGGGACCACAGGATCCCGGACCTTTGGAAGGCATACGATGAGCCGAAGCCAACTCGCAGAGGCCCGTTGAACAGTTTTAATATAAATGTGATGAGGCATTAGCCGGCAATTATCCCTGTATGCACCATAAAAGTGCACCCAAGGACAATCCCCAGTTGATGCAGGACTATTGTGCGAAATGGTAAAAGATTATATGGTTATGGGTGTGGGTGGCTATGGACTGGTACAATAGCTATAATTGTTTTTGTTGAATATTTTATACAGCCAACCATATTATTTAGTGTGCAGTTAAAAATCAAAAATTTATTCATTATTACTAAGACGTCAATCTTTGCCTAGTCACTGAAACGATAAATTTAGTTTAGCTTCGTTTAAAAGTTTACGTTTTACTAGAACAATAGTTAACATCTCGATCCTGAATAATTATCTGTTTTCTTAGCTGCTTATGAAATGACTTGGTTGGCTATGTTGTCATTGTAAAAATAGATACTTTTATATTCATCAGATCATTTAACAAAAGTAAATAAAGTGAGGGTAAACATTCACAAAAAGGTTATAAAATATTCAAGGCTGTTTGCAAGTAGGTAGGTACTAAAAGTTTGACACAAGTAAGTAACAAGAATTCCTTATAATAAATATATTTTGTAGAATTACTGTATTAAAATTAAGTGCAAATTAATTATCCTTTTTATAATAATAGATGTGAACGTAATATATTTTCTATTGAATTTTATACTACAAAACACATATATTTTGTTGAATCATTATTACACCATGACTTACTTTATTTAATATTTTGTCTATTGAAAATAACTTTCTCAAGTGAATTAAAATAGGTCGGCCCGGTCAGTTGGCTATGCGACGACGACGTATCTACGACACGCTTCTTATGGATAAGAGTCCAGTTGTGACTTGAACCAATTATACGTTTTCTCAGTTAATTCAATTGAGTGAATCGTTATTAACAACATAATTATATTTATTTACGCGAGTATTAACGCGGAAAATTATTATTTGAATATGTCGTGGTCACAAACAGACTGCTTGTACCTGACCCGTGCAACCGGGTCGAATCGTCAAGCCTACCAAGGTATTCAAATAATAATTTTCCGCGTTACCTAATACCCGCGTAAATAAATACATGTTGTTAATATGAAACGCGAAAGTTTAAAAGTTAGTATGAATCATTATTTCCAATAAATTTACTGTGTGTCTCACAATAGTTACTATTAAAAAATAATTAGATAATATTTTGGATAAAACCGTTACCTTAACATTATTTGAAATTGCTACTTATAATACATTTCTTATTTAGATCACTTTACATCTTATCCTTACTAATTAAAGCTATCCCATACAACTTCTCAAATTGTGCTTAATTCAACAAGAAAGCGAGTGTTGTGCATCTTTGCCAATGTTACAATTATCTCTATACTTTTTTAAGGACATACAATTAGGGTTTTGTATATAAAAGTCAGTTATTAAATTATAAAACTACTTCGTGCTCACAAAATGGGGAATACCGTGTTTCAAGGACAGTTTTAAATATGAGGAAAGGTCACAATAGATACAATTTAGTACTAAATCAATACTTTTCTTGTCGTTTTGTGTAAGCATGGCCACTTTCTTTCTATACTCCCGCCGCCTTCGTTTTGTTCAAGGATAGTAATTGACGATCGCATTGGTATAAATATTTGATTACCGCTAACGTTTCTTTAGTACAAATATAATGATAAAAGTATAAAAATTGTTACTAAGTTCATAAGATATTTTTTCACTTAAAGCGTTTTTAAGCTACTAATTACGTACTGTTTCGGAATTCACTGCTGTTGTGAAGACGAATAGATACCTGTATATAATTTCCTCATAAATATATTTGATATGTATTGTTTACATTAATGATATGTATACGATTTCGATAGTGTTTAGAGGAAATATACTCAACCATATTAAGAATAAGTGTCAGAATCGTGTGACTTAGTTTTACTAAATTGATTTACGGTATCTTGTGCTTTG